GCAAAATATCAGGTTTGTTGGCCTGAATAGGTCAGAGGCTGTATACGGGCCTATTCCAAAGAATTTTGTATTAGTAATTTTCCATTACACACATTGACGGTGTCGAGTGTGAAGTGACTGGTCCTGAGCAGCAAACAGAAAGCTCTTCGGTATCACTTTTCAGGCCAGCCGACTTCATCCAAATGGTTGCTGATCCTCTCAACACACTGTACATATACTCGATGCAGTAGTCGTTCAAATAGCCTCTCCTTGAAAACCGAGTCTGGTCAGACTTGATATGACACTTCTCTTGGTTGACACTCATTTCTGTACCGTCCAGCAGTACAGAACCATCAACAAAATCAACATTGACATTGAGATTATATATGTCCCACATCCTTGGCTCATTTAAGATAACTGTGGAATGCCTTGTTTTAATCATGAGTCTTGACTTGCTTCACAAGAGGATCATCAGTCAAATATATATGTGCAAAAGTGCACAAAACAATTCTATCATGAAGAGCCTCCACATTAATCAGACCACGCCCTCACATTATGATCCGTAAATATAAGCGATTGTGGGATGAGATATGGTGGTGGGATCCATTGTCTTCCATGATTCTTCGTGTGAGTTTGTCAGTCCCCCGTGACAGCCTCCGTGGTCTAGTGGCAGAGCGTCCGCCCGGAGAGCGGAAGGTCCCGGCTTCGATCCCCGACCGCGTCATACCAAAAGACGTTAAAAGATTGTACTTGTTGTTACCCTGTCTGGCGCTCGGCATTAAGGGGCTAAAACAAGAACTGGTCGGCTCGGAGTCAGTATACTGTGTCTGAGTGGGGTATTCATGTTAAACTGCGGCATGGTATCTCAGTGAGTTAGCACTATAAATCGGCATCAGTCCGGACTAGTACAGGCAGCCACACAAACACACACACGTACATGCACGTCGCTATATAAGTGCAATAATCTTGGACGCGACGTTTAACCCCTTTTCACCTCACCTTGTCAGTACCCCGAGTTTCGTGCTGTGTCCAATCACCAACACCAAAAGAATATGAAAGAACGGGTGCAGCATAAGTATTTGTGGCTTTAATTTCATTGCGAGGGTTCAGCTCTTAACTCCAAACTTTCTTTAGTCTACATTTGTACTCTGCCTTAATATGAGCATTTTGAGTACGTATAGGCCTGACCTCCAAAGGGATGGCCAATACCGCCTCCCCCAAGTTAACTGACCGATCCTCCCTCTTCTACCACGCCAAGTTTAAGATGAAAAAATGTTGCATTTGTCGAGTCCAAAGGACATAAGAAAAGGACTCGACAATAAGAATCTGTTTTTTAGTGTGGATCCTCCATTGGCAATAAGTTCAAGGTCATCCATGCAAAGGCAATTATTATTATTTTTGTCAGACATGTTCTCTGTCATCCGATTTGTAAGAAGTAAGAAATGTATTCAACATAAAACCAAGAACGTGTCCTCTTATTCCACGTTCATTTCCACATGATTGCAGAAAAAGATATTACTTGGCTCAAAAATGAAAATGAAATTGTATATATTTGTCCTTTCTGTTAAATAAATATTTAAAAACCGACACTCGCTATGTGATTTATACATGCAAGAGACTCATTCAGTAAATGTCCTTGCACTGAGAACCATCGTTCCAAGCACACATAAACATACACGACTGGGACTTATAAAGAAAGACTATGTATTACAACAATGAAGGTGAACCTCATTTGTCCAAATATTTGCTACACACGTGAAAGCCCCTTAGCACAGTGTTATCTTACACTCCTCAAGAACAGCTAAGTTATTCCTGATATTGTACAAACGCGTCAAGGTAAGTATATACATATTTTCTCACACACACCCAAAGTATTGCTTCAAACGTGGCACGTTTTATGTAGAAATAATGGGTTTTTCAAATGCGACGACTTGAGCGTGTACTTTTGTTGTCGAGAAGCAATGTTTGGCAGGGTAGCTGTACAGAGAGTACAGTTGTCACATCTCTCACAGGATCACGGGAGTAAGTAGAATACATGTTGGCACAAGGCTTCAAATAAAAGGTTTAAGAGGTAGTATTATAATGATGACGGTAATAATCAACTAAAACTACAACCGCTGCTGCTGCTGCTGCTGCTACTACTACTACTACTACCATCACCGCCTCCACTAAAACGACCAATTTATACCACCACAACATCCTCTCTCGTGTGTTTAATTAATCGAAGTCTCTTTATGGACAGGTATCAATTGGGGTATGATGGTGAGATCGCTATGACGGGGACATGGGTGTAGGGGAGCCGGGTGGTCTTGACGTCCATGATGACATTGCTATGTCTGCGACACGGATGTAGGAGGCACGTGGTCTTGACGTCAATGATGACATTGCTGTGTATGAGACACGGATGTAGGAGGCACGTGGTCTTGACGTCCATGATGACATTGCTATGTCTGAGACACGGATGTAGGAGGCACGTGGTCTTGACGTCCATGATGACATTGCTGTGTCTGAGACACGGATGTAGGAGGCACGTGGTCTTGACGTCCATGATGACATTTCTATGTCTGAGACACGGATGTAAGAGGCACGTGGTCTTGACGTCCATGATTGCGTTGCTATGTCTGAGACACGGATGTAGGAGGCACGTGGTCTTGACGTCCATGATGACATTGCTATGTCTGAGACACGGATGTAGGAGGCACGTGGTCTTGACGTCCATGATGACATTGCTATGTCTGAGACACGGATGTTTGAGACACTTGGTCTTGACGTCCATGATGACATTGCTATGTCTGAGACGCGGATGTAAGAGGCACGTGGTCTTGACGTCCATGATTGCGTTGCTATGTCTGAGACACGGATGTAGGAGGCACGTGGTCTTGACGTCCATGATGGCATTGCTATGTCTGAGACACGGATGTAGGAGGCACGTGGTCTTGACGTCCATGATGACATTGCTGTGTCTGAGACACGGATGTAGGAGGCACGTGGTCTTGACGTCCATGATGACATTTCTATGTCTGAGACACGGATGTAAGAGGCACGTGGTCTTGACGTCCATGATTGCGTTGCTATGTCTGAGACACGGATGTAGGAGGCACGTGGTCTTGACGTCCATGATGACATTGCTATGTCTGAGACACGGATGTAGGAGGCACGTGGTCTTGACGTCCATGATGACATTGCTATGTCTGAGACACGGATGTTTGAGACACTTGGTCTTGACGTCCATGATGACATTGCTATGTCTGAGACGCGGATGTAAGAGGCACGTGGTCTTGACGTCCATGATTGCGTTGCTATGTCTGAGACACGGATGTAGGAGGCACGTGGTCTTGACGTCCATGATGGCATTGCTATGTCTGAGACACGGATGTAGGAGGCACGTGGTCTTGACGTCCATGATGACATTGCTTTGGCACGTGGTCTGTTTGGTTGTGTGTGTGTGTGTGTGTGTGTGTGTGTGTGTGTGTGTGTGTGTGTGTGTGTGTGTGTGTGTGTGTGTAATTTTCTTCCTTGACCTTTTCTAGTACTGTGAAATCCACGAGCACGGGTATGATGCTGACAAGCCAGAAGGATGGAATATTTCCCATTGCACGTTACATCGTTCGCACTGTATATCACCTATTTAACCTTGTCAATGATTATTGGTTATAATGAGGCATATAGTATCTTCAGATGTTACCGTGAGGGAATGCATCTACCGTGAGTAATTGCATCTGCTGTAATGCATATAAAGACGTGTTGGTATGTATGTCGTCTTGATCTGCGAGGGTATTTGTGTTCATTTAAAAAGTAGTGTGTTGAAAAGGTTGGTTGCATCTTGTCATATGTTTCAGCTTCAGTAGTTCACATTTATGTTTCGAAAATAAATTAAACTCGATGAATAGATATATATGGTCTATGGGTGTTTATATCAAAGGTAATTACTAAGCGATGCTGTCCTCGGAATGAAGGAGCTGGTAGGGTAAGTGCACTTTTTCCCCCACTGGAAATTTTAAAGTTAATTTTTAAAGTAAATTTAAAAGTTGCATAATATCACGTAATTAAGCCCTGTTGGTGGATTTTAGCTTTATCTTTTTTTATTTAGTGCAAACCTGATAAGGGCCTCGTTCCACAAAACAGTCAACGCGCTAAGGTGATTGTAATTCACATACTTTAACATTGACTGACGACAGACGTAGCGCTACGATCGGCTTGTGGAACGGGGCCCAGTTTCAAATCGTTATAATTTGATGATTCATTTTTCCAATACCCAGCAAAGATTTCGATATTTTAGTTTCTCGAGGCCATGTGGACAATCGCAAATATATAGAGCTATGCATAGTTCGGGAATGTCTGTACTTCTTCCTCCAGAGAAGAGTACATGGACCACTTGCACAAAGCCATATTATCGCTACGCCCATACTCTAACATAGATGTACAAAAGTCGTAGCGCTGAGATCGCTTTATGCAAGTGGGCCCAGGTCTACAAGCTAACACGAAAACGTCACAATATACACTACACATTTAGGAGGAGGAACTAAAAGGAAATCCAGCAAGATACATATCGATACAGATTTTGGGGTTAGAAGTAAAATATATTCAGCACGACATAGTAAAATAGAATAACAAGATACATATTGCCTTACTTGAAATACTATAACGGGCTACGTCAAACATTAATGTAATTGTAAGTACGTGGTTGATCCAGGGCGTAAATGGGACCCTAACAATCCTATAACAGTGAGGGGATCTCAGCGATAGATATTATTAACAGAGAGAAGAGTTCAATGACAAAGCATAGCACACCTGTATCTGAGAAATTCTCATGCGTGTCTGTAGGTGGTTCTGTTGAGAACCGGTGAGAGAAATCAACAACACAGAGACCTATAGAAGCTATTTAAACACGATTACATTGACGATAAGAGTAAATATAGCTGTGGCATAAAGGCAGTCAAGATCTAAGCAGGAGAAAGTGCCTCGTGTGTTCTGTCAGCTATATAATAGACGCGTAGGGCGGAAAGGATAAAAAATATGACGCGTTCTGACTACCTTTAATTTGCATAGACGGGTTTCGTCTGCAGTTATTGAAGGTTCGGAAGGTTGACTTGCTAACAAACAGCGGGGGCTGCTTAGCGAGACAGCAAGTGGTGATTTACTTCACGTCGCAAATCCGGGTGTTGGGGTTGAGACAGGGCGGTCGTCTTCGCCCGGTCTTGTTACGTATAAATGCGGTGATCGTGCATGTACCCGGCACTCACACTTCTCATAATGAAGGGGAAAATAGCAGCGTCACGGTCGAGTTGTTCCTTGGTCGTTAAGTCGTCAGAGTAGCTTGAGGGACTGGGGCTTCTCGACACTGATAAGGACGGATAGTTACTGTTATAACCAGCTTTGGGACGACCCATGGTACTCCGGCTGGGTGAAGACGACTGCTAATGATAAGTTGTAGTCCCGGCGTGAGGTGACTAGTGTGGGAATATGCATCACACAGGGGACGCCGTCAAGCCCACAGCAGAGCTGTCGTCGTTTGGGAACAGTTACATGTCCCCTAACACCCCCGGGTCTGGCTTGTCCTGTGTGTGGGGGGACCACAACCAGAGGCTACGGGAGATCCTTGAGGACAACCGGCTACCCCAGATTGTGAAGATCTGCGAGGAGGATGTGGTACAGAGTAATGGGGAAGGAAGTGAAGGGTTCAACTTCCAACAACCCCTGCTCCTGTATAAGGAAGTGAAGCTGACGAGGGTGTTTTCGCGGAACGTGCGTCGTGACCCGGGACCCAGAGGAAGGGAGAGGGAGGTCGGACCCTACGTCGTCATTCCGGAACATTACCCAGGTAGGTTCTAATCGAGTAATCGAGGGGGCGGGTTGAGAGTGATGTGCTTGGAAATGCACAGATGACTCGGTTAAAACAGATTTAGTGCAATATTTCAAAAGAGACTTTGCGTTAATATTTTGTGAAGGAAATTAATGAATGGGTGAGCTGGTACGGAGGGCTGGATTTGGGGTTGGGGGTACGCGGCGTACTCGTGGGTTGGTGCAGGGAGGTGGAGCGAGCTGGAAGTTTGTTGGGGGGTGGGGGGGTGGGGGGGGGGGGGCGTGTGTATGTGAGGGGGGTACGCGGCGCGTGGGTTGGTGCAGAGAGTTGGATGGAGCTAGGGGTTGGGGGTGGGGGGAGGGGGGTGGGCGTGAGTGAGGAGATATGCGGCGTACACGTGGCCATCGGTGACGGATGGGTCGGAGCTGGGAGAAGATGTTGTGGGTCGCCCTGCACAGCATTGAAATGGTGTGTCCAGTAAAAGCGGGTCGTCAAACGGAGCAGATAGTATATGAGTGTTGAGATGCACAGTACAAAGAAAGAAAAACAAGATTATTACCATAAGGGTAATATAATAGAATAAAGAAGCGTTACCCATAAAGTATCTTGTCTCTTCTGTTACTTACCAAGTTCTAAAATGCCAATGCAACAGCTTTGGCTACAGTTATAAGTAACTGTTAATATAACTTACATCGTAATAATAATATTCCTATTGGTTATGTGGGCCTTCGTGATTTACCGTAGTAAGTGTATGTATGTAGTTGTGTCTGTGTGATCTATGACTCAGAGAGACTGTAAATCTATGCCCCACCCATGCATACCCGTTCCGTTCGTGATCGGATTGATTAAACTCATCGATAAAACTATAATATTGACTCGGCTTTGAGGATCAACAATCTGACGTGTCATATGATTGATTAGAGTGTATATTGAACTCCGTAGCGGGGAATGCTCAAGTGAACTACTAATGTAGACTGACATGTTATTGCACACGAGGACGATCCCGTTGATTGCAGTGCACAGATTTCACGTAATCAATATGCATGTCTACCATGTGACGTCTCCCTGCTTCGTTTCCTCGGTCCAATATTAGCACTTATGAATGTAAACACTGTAACCCTACCTTGTGTCCGTGCTGCCGAGTCATGCTCGCGAATCAGACAAATGGGAAACCCGATAGAAAAACAATCCGATAACAGTGGCGTTGGAGGGATCACATCGGCCACAGTGACAATGGCTTATGACAGCAGCCGTGTTTACACCTGACAAAACACGCAATATGAGCGAACATTAACATGGGAAAGAATGTTGGGGTGACCCAGCTCCCCCTCCCCCCCCCCCCCCCCCCCGTCCTCGAGGAGTTGCAGTGGTAAGAAGACGCCACTACACCCCCCTAACAATGGGGAACAGTATCCGGGTAATTATGGCCCTTCAACGTAGGGGTAATCTGTTTCTCGCTATCGCAACACTCAATAGGCAGGGTAGAAGTATGGGGTTCTTAAGACGAAAATGGGTTTTGTGTTTGGATTATTGAATATTGTCTTTCTTCAGGTTTCTTTTTTTAGTTTAAAAGATAATATCTATGTATCTATCCATCTCTGATCCACAAATACCTGTCTGTCTATGACATCTCTGCATTTGCCCATCATCCATCATCTGGTACCAGTTATCCATTGATACTTATCTGTCGATAACATCTCGGTCGTTATCCCAGGATCCATCCATCTCCTGGTACAAGTTATCCAACAATACTGTGATGTCTTTATCAGTATCTATATCCATCTCCCTAGTATCCATCAATCCATCAACACCTACACAGATACTGTTTCCATCAATACTTATCTGTACCTTCCTATCTTTAAACATCTTTTATCTACCTATCTATCCATCCACCCACCCATCATTCTAGTTATATTTATGTGCGTGTGTGTGTGTGTGTGTGTGTGTGTGTGTGTGTGTGTGTGTGTGTGTGTGTGTGTGTGTGTGTGTGTGTGTGTGTGTGTGTGTATCTATGCATACAATTCTAGACAAAACGGAAATAGATCTAACGAATATACACTTGTAATTTAATATAAAACATAAATACCAGAGAATAACCAGTCTCGATTATCTGCCAAGACAGATTCCATTGGACATAAAATCCAAAATACTGGTGTAAATTATTGGATGGAGCACTGGCTCAGTGATGACACCAGGTGTTCGCGACAAGGGTAAACATTCACGTCCTGTTCTACCGCTTGTACTCGCCACTCAAGAAATCACAGTTAATCCCTCAGAGGTGGTATCATATATATTCGTAAAAAAATCAAAATATTTCCATCATACATATTTATGATAAATACTACTGCCGAATACTGAATTGTTACACAATCGAGATGTTCCATCGCAAAGTCCAACTTAATTTGTTTTTATAAGTAAAGCTTTAGATTAATAATGACGAGTATTAAGTACCACCATGACGACTACTTCGGCCAAGTACAAATATACAGTCGGGCAAAAACATATACACCACTGTTTGATGGTGACTAAACGAAAATACAGTAAAATACGGTTAAAACGAACTCAAATGGACAACTAATGTTAGTTCGTTTTAACCGTAGTTCGTTATACGTACATATACAGCATAACTACAGCAAGCAGTCGGGACCAAAAAAGTAACTTCGTTATATCCGTCGGTTCGTTATAAGCGTGTTCGTTATAACCGTAGTTTACTGTAGTTATTCTATGGAGATGTATTTGATAAGAGTATCACATTTGTGTTTTTGAACGTTTTCAGTGTTTCGACGAGTGTTTTCAGCCTTGTGACGTTTATAATACGTTAAGCCAAATCGAAATTTCAAGTGTATACTTTCTTTTGTCCGTCAGTGTACTTGTATACTTATTAGTCGAGATTGACATCACGCCAGTCGGAATAAGGTATGCCTCAGGTAACTCCTTTTGACACGCTTGTTTTGATCCCTAGATTAGCAAAGGTCAGATAAGGTGAAGAGTTTACTCAGGCATATGAATCTCAAGTCACGTGTCATGTCGTGTATTAGCTATCATTTATTTAATACGATACCATAAAATCCCGGGGTCTTTTTTTTATTACTTATTCGTCTGAAACCTAAACTCCAGTACCTATATATCGTGTATGACGGATAATAGACAGTAATAACGTCGCGGAACGACCTTTGCCCCATATTGACATCAGGTGAATGTGTTATGGTGCGTGGTAGATTGACAAATTCACACGTTTGTGCGGAGAAGATCATGGTGGCAAACACTTTCTCTTGAAATTACCACAGAACAAATTGGACAGTATTTGACAATATTGTCGCGAAGGCCTTGCTGTCTGTCGGGACGGGTCAACCTTTACTATGAATAGACCAGTAATTTGTTGGAGCGTCCTTGACAAGTAGAGTTAATAGCTGAAGTCTTTGTGCGGGTCATGTTCACAGGTCATTTTAAGCTGACCACGGGCAGTGAATGCACGGCCCCCGTGTGAGAAGCATCATTGTGACCATTCGCCTTTACTCTTCATCCCTCCCCGCTCCCCACTGCTCTGAACGCTCACACCTTGATATATAGAGACCCACTTCCCCAATGCTTTTACAAAGATACCGTCTGTCGATGACCTCACACCTGGTGTGGCGCCCCGTCTCTTTCACCACCTGTCAAATGTCCCCTGACCTCCTCCCCTGGTGCCTTTATAAACTCTCACATCGTCCCATAAAGCAGCATAACACGTTAAAGCGTAAGTCTTTCAAGCCTCAAGGCGTTTCCTGCTTGACGCTAAGGTCCGTGTAGCGGATTATATATAGTTATGTGAAAATGATCCATCTGAAATGTAAAGAGAGTTCACTTCATTGTCGCTAGCTGGCATCAACCGTATGTTTGTATGTGACCGAGTTGTTTATCCGTCAGCAGTGTCCCAACTCCAACATCGCGGCCTGTCAATCATGGATGACAGGCAAACCAGTGGTTGATATCATGAACAATGAACCACGATTTGAGATTATAGCTATTTCACCCATGTGTATATTATAGAAACTCTGACTTTGTAAACTTACGTATCTTTGACGGTCAATGGGGGAGACATGTGGTCGTAGTTCGCTGTCCCTGAAGCTGATGATTGGGGGTCGAATGCCAGCTTACCCTTATTATGTTTCTAAATTTGTCGCATTAAAGCATGCTCTTGGGAATCAAGCAGGTGATAAACGTTTGAGGCTGACCTCCGGCTTTCCTCCTGCATAAAGTGACCGCCTCCGTGGTCTGGTGGCAGAGCGTACGCCCGGAGAGCGGAAGGTCCGGAGTTCGATCCCCGGCCATGTCATACCAAAAGACGTTAAAAGATGGTACTTGTTGTTACCCTGTCTGGCGCTCGGCATTAAGGGGCTAAAACAAGGACTGGTCGGCTCGGAGTCAGTATACTGTGTCTGAGTGGCATGGTGTCTGCGGCATGGTATCTCAGTGAGCTAGCGCTAGAAATCGGCATCAGTCCGGACAAGTACAAGTAGCCATATAAACACACACACGTACATGCACGTCGCTATATAAGTGCAATAATCATGGACGCGACGTTAAACGTCCTCAAAACTTTAACGTCACCTCCTGCATAAACTTTGCACGCTATTCAAAGAAAGAAAAACGGTCCTTGTGCATAAACGTGAATAAATATATGTAAAAAAACCAATAATCTAGGTTAAAGTTATATATATACAGAGAAGATAGTAAATTGTAAAAATATATAATTTGTAATTGCAGTTGATTTAGAGAGGAGAGTAGAAGAGATGGATGGAAGAATATAACAAACTGACAAATCGCTGACTGCGAATCACTGTCAAATACATAAAATTTGGGAGAATTAATTATCACAGGTATTCGATCTAAGTAACAGTAAGTGATTTCGACAGGTGACAGATCATCTATCACAGACACCCGTCTGGTCCCATCAATCTCTGTTAGAGGTGAGCTACGCCCGCAGTGTAAATACGACATAGCGCTGTCAGTTAACCCTTGTGTGATGCACCTCGCGAACTCATACTAGTATACCTTTAAAGGTGCAAAAAGCATATTTCATATAAAACAAGAGGACAATGAAGCAATGCATCAAAGTTACTCCGCCAAACCTTGCACTGTAGAGCAGTTCTTTCAGTGATTTCAAAGCGGCAATAACTGGGGCAAGCAAACACAGGCAATTTGTCTGTCTACCAGACCCTAGATAATAAATTAAAATTGAATCCAACTCAAGTTTCAAATGATTTGGCATGTCTAGATTTTTTCAGATAATTCAGCATTGTTCTTGGCTCCATTTGGATTTTACATTACATTTTGTAGAGGTATATTGGGAAAAATAAGATAAGGGACGAAGTATTATCCTGCCAGGCAACTAGCAACTTATGGTCATTGTTTTGCTATAAGCGGTTTTATCAATGTATTGTCAACTGCATATCTAACGTATATTCAACTGCTGGTACAGATTTCAGCATTGTTATTTTAGAAAACTATGTAATTACTTCGCTTCACAAGTGTCCATCATCGCCGTGGTCACAAGTGTCCGCCATCACCGTTTTCACAAGTGTCCTCAATCACCGGTGACAAGTGTCTGTCATTACCGTGTTCACATGTGTCCTTCATCACGGCGGTGACAAGTGTCCGTCATCACCGTGGTCACATGTGTCCGTCATCACCGTTGTCACAAGTGTCCGTCATCACCGTGGTCACATGTGTCCGTCATCAGGTGCATGGTTTTCCCTAATCGATAAGGACAGCGTCCATGGTGTCCTCTAATCAGTGACGACAGCCTCAATGGTGTCCCCTAATCAGTGACGACCGCTTCAGTGGTGTCCTCTAATCAGTGACGACCGCCTCAGTGGTGTCCTCTAATCAGTGACGATCGCCTCATTGGTGTCCTCTAATCAATGACCACCGTCTCAGTGGTGTCTTCTAATCAGTGACGACCGCCTCAATGGTGTCCCCTAATCAGTGACGACCGCTTCAGTGGTGTCTTCTAATCAGTGACGACCGCCTCAATGGTGTCCCCTAATCAGTGACGACCGCTTCAGTGGTGTACTCTAATCAGTGACGACCGCCTCAATGGTGTCCCCTAATCAGTGACGACCGCTTCAGTGGTGTCTTCTAATCAGTGACGACCGCCTCAATGGTGTCCCCTAATCAGTGACGACCGCTTCAGTGGTGTCTTCTAATCAGTGACGACCGCCTCAATGGTGTCCCCTAATCAGTGACGACCGCTTCAGTGGTGTCTTCTAATCAGTGACGACCGCCTCAGTGATGTCCTCAATCAGTGACGATCGCCTAATTGGTGTCCTCTAATCAATGACCACCGCCTTAGTGGTGTCCTCAATAAGAGACGACCGCCTCAGTGGTGTCCTCTAATCAATCACGGCCGCCTAAGTGGGGTCCTCTAACCAATCACGACCGCCTAAGTGGTGTCCTCTATCAATCACGAACGCCTCAGTGGTGTCCTCTATCCAATGACGGCCGCCTCAGTGGTGTCCTCAAGATGTGACAACCGATTCAGTGGTGTCCTCTAATCAATGACGACCGCCTCAGTGGTGTCCTCTAATTAATGACGGCCACCTCAGTGGTGTCCTCAATAAGTGACGACCGACTCAGTGGTGTCCTCTAATCAATCACAAATGCCTAAGTGGGATCCTCTAACCAATAAACCACCGCCTTAGTGGTGTCCTCTAACCAAACATGACCGACTCAGTGGTGTCCTCTAATCAATCACGACCGACTCAGTGGTGTCCTCTAATTAATGACGGCCACCTCAGTGGTGTCCTCAATAAGTGACGACCGACTTAGTGGTGTCCTCTAATCAATCACAAATGCCTAAGTGGGGTCCTCTAACCAATAAACCACCGCCTTAGTGGTGTCCTCTAACCAAACATGACCGACTCAGTGGTGTCCTCTAACCAATCATGACCGACTCAGTGGTGTCCTCAATAAGAGACGACCGCCTCAGTGGTGTCCTCTAACCAATCATGACCGACTCAGTGGGGTCCTCTAACCAATCACGACCGCCTTAGTGATGTCCTCTAACCAATCACGAATGCCTCAGTGGTGTCCTCTAACCAATCACGAATGCCTCAGTGGTGACCTCTAACCAATCACGACCGCCTTAGTGCTTCGATGCTTCAATGCTTCGATCACCGGCCACGTCATGGAAAAAGTCCTGAATACATAGTTATATATATATAAACAAATTTGTCAAACATATTTTAGCATAATTATTTTATTTACAACTGTTTCAAACAGGTTGTAGTGATAGAGGATGCATTTGTGCTTTTAGCACTATTACAGTGGAAACTACAACTTCAATATTTTATTTTAGAACACTGATACTGCGCTTATTAACTTTACATTCTCTGTAAAACTCTCACCCTAAGATGTCACAATAGGCCTGTTTACAAACTGTCACCTACACCTGTGACATCTTTTTCTAAGAAAGCGTTTAAGAGATGCCACCTATAGCCATCATATCAGGGTCACTGTGCAATTTCATTGTGTGGTGACACTCGTGGTGTTTACACATTGTTGCAGCAGTAAAGCTAGCTCGCCTGACCTCGTCAAAACAGCACACAACCTAAAATCGCCAACCGATAGGTCCAGTCGTACGACAAAGTCGCATCGTGTGCACAAATCTTCAGATCGAATAACGGTATATGTGTGCATAGTGAAATATACACATTATCCCTGCTGTGACACGTGGCAAGAAATGGTCAGCCTTTGCACGTTTACCACGTGCCATCTGTGTTTTGACAGTGATGTGTGGGCACACGTTGTCTATAACAGCCACGCAATACCGCAGCAGGACTCGCCTGTATGTCATGTTGAGAATAGCCATACCTTTAATAGCGTTAACACGGGCGACTAAATGAATTTATACCAACTTCTTGAGCAGTATCCAGTCTTACAAACCAAATTAACAAATTATATATATATATACTAAAGATGTTAAAGATGACATTACAGATTAACTATAGTAATGTTAATGAATCGTTCCTTAACTTCTTAAAGGAATAAAAGGGTGTTCCTTAACTTCTTTTGAGTAGTATAAATATTGTGCTGTCACGTACCAAAGCATCACAATAATGTGCGGATAATGTCGTCGAATACTTCTTTGTGTAATACGTGTGTGTAATTATAAGTGATGGATTATCTAACATTACCGTGAATATATTACAACCATATCACGGCAGACTTGATCCAGACTGTAAACAGCAAGAGACTAAAACAACAGATCCTGCAAGGGCCACATGTGTTAGAAACATGCGCACTGTGGCGTTCACAATACACAATCATGTGGTTCTGGTCTTCACTCAATGATGTCAAATTGAAGGGGAAGAAACGCTCATAAAATCTCCTTCGAGCCGCGAACCTCAATAATAAAGCTGACCTCGCTTTTACTGAACAGAAAGGTTTTATCACTGGGGTAAATTCATCCAAAGGATGTCAAGTAGAATCAATTGATTTATTAAAAAACAAAAATATGTCGTCAGCTGACAGGAGGTTAACGCAGTAAGCCTATTGAGATTTGATATCCTGTTTTTACATGTCTGAAGTCGATGGTTAGGGTCGATTATTGTATTTTTAGAGGGCCTCCTTAGTGTTTGAGGATTGGTTGCGATTTTAAACTTCATAGTCAGTCTATAAAAGCACGCATATTTCGACCAAGTGAAGTTTTTTTAAGGGTCAGATTATGTTTTCGAAATGTGCGAATCTATATTCAGCACGGGCCTCGACGTCTATGACGGTACCAATAGGTTCCAACGTAAATGAATAACTGTATCATCCTATCAGGTACATTTTGTTGATTTTTCAAAACTAAATATGCCGGTATTAGAATATTAACGAAATTAAGAAAACCACAACAAACCAGAGTCTAAATATGTAAATGATTTACCACATCTTTTTACAGGTTTCTTCAAAGTTCTGAACACCGAGGGCAGTGATGACATGGCCTTGACCTCCTTATCCACCGTCGCTAGAATTATGCCAGCGTCCTTTCTGTGCCTCGTAAAACTCAAAGGCTTCGTAGCGCATCACCAACGGAAGGATACATTAGTATATGAAAAGAAGGAGATCCCACCGGGACTACTTTATGTTATGAATATTCATGAGGATCAGGTGACATACATCAATAGCCGGAAGTCTGAGAAACGGAAGCTGATTCTGTCCCTGCGTTGTACAAACCGAGACCGAAACGTAGAGATATTATTGCCCTACGATTCAACTGGACAATTTTATATTGTCGATCTGAAGAAAAGTAGTTCCCGAAGTTGTGTGAACGCGGGCGCCTTTGCTCACACTATCTCTAGCATCATGCAAACGTTTGACAAAGACAGTGTAACTAAAGTACAACTTATATACGGCGACCCCCCTTCCCAGGAATGTCAGTTTACGGGGGTTCTCAGAATTAGTCACGTGACCAAAGAACATACTGTGATTGCATGTACATTGAATTCGGTGGAGCCGAAAATTTTAGAATTATCAATTACTCCACATCCAAAGTTCAAACTAGCTTTACAAACAGCGGACCAACACAGCGACGTCGTGAAGAGAAAGTGTTTGGCGTTCATGAAAACTGCCTACGAGAAGTTCCGACGAGATTTGAAGGTTCGGCGAGATTACGAGATCGAGAAACGAGACTTGAGGGAGGATTACGACTAGGGCTAGTGTGCAAGGCGATTAAGCTTGTCCCATGTTGACTTCGTGTACACTTGTTACTCCGCACATTATCCGCTTGTGCGTGCGACTCTGAGAGGGCCATTGGTCTAATGTGCTGCAGTAATTACGTATTTGATTGACACTGTTGGAACGACAGGAAAGTGAGCCTTTTGGGTAACAATGCACTGTATATCTGAAAAGTTTTGCGAGCAGCGAAAACTGCGAGCGACACACACAATAGTTTCATGATACAGTTATTTTGGCAGACCAACAACAAACAAAAGACGTAGGGAGACATTTTTCTTGTATTCACTTCACTGTAAATCGGGTGTTCTTTAACTTCTTTTGAGTAGTATATAATACTGAACAAAAATGGAGATCATGAATATTTTGGCGCATATTTTTTGTAGTGAAGGGTGAGCTCAAAATTTAAAATAAATATCCCCAGGAATGATCCCTAAGTGGTTTGTCAAGTATATACCCTTTTCATTTGACGTGGCTGACCAATCTGCCTTTGTCTGAAACGCTTTGTCTTGTAGGAGTATCGGGTATAGAGATATATTTAATTAACTGAATTTGATCATAAATGTTGAATATTGCGTGCGTGTAAACCTTAGGAATTGACGGTGCTAAATACGTCCGTACCCTCGTTTCAGAAATGTCGAAATGTTTCCACATTTCATTGGTTTGAATTGAGATAGAGGGAGGCACAGCTTATCGCGAACATGGACGTATATCTGTACCTGAACTCCTTCATCACTTTAAGCTTATTAACCCACCAGCTGTAATCGAATTTAGGGTTCATGTTTGTCAAACAAACTGAATTATTGTACTCCATGCAATGAGGAAAGAAACGGTGATTGAAAAAGGCCACCAGTAGTATTACATCCTGCTATAGCCGAAGGGAGACTACTTCTCAATCAGTACATGTAATGCTTTACGACGTAATGTCCAAAGTTCCTGTACTGCACATGTATGTGATATACACGCATATGTGTATACATTATAATTTAAGTTGTTACATAGGGTTGTTATGATTTGAAATATCTATAAATTTTGAAACTATATATTTCTACTGTAGTGATAGGGTAAAATGAAGACATGATCTCAGAAATACGTGTATAAAATATGATCAGAATAAAATATGTATTTACAATAATTGTGTTTTGTGGAAAGAATAACAATTATGAAGACTACTTTTTGGACGAAAATATTTAACATTTACTTGATGGCCATGGTGTGATATAGCAGTAGTCAATGAGTGTGAGTGAGTTGGTTTTTACGCCACTTGATATAGTATTTCATTTATAACTCGGCGTGTCAGCTCAATGTGGAAGGAAATCCCGAATACTTTTACCACTTTGGTGAAACCCACGAGCATGGGTATGGTGCTGGCAAACCTAGAAACATAACCGGATGGAACCTGGATTCGAACCCACAATCATAGGTTTAAGGAACAGCCCAGCAAATTGGGGCATCTTAGATAACAGGACAAGAATTGAGTGTTTGATGGAGATGAGTGAGTGAGTGAGTTTAACGCCGCTTAGTATTTCACTTACGTCTCGACTAGCCTCTACATGGATCCCCGATTCCAACGTACCAAATTGCCGAGTCTATACTAGCCTCTACATAGATCCCCGATTCCCACGTACCAAATTGCCAAGTCTATACTAGCCTCTACATAGATCCCCGATTCCAACGTACCAAATTGCCGAGTCTATACTAGCCTCTACATAGATTCCCAATTCCCACATACCAAATTGCTGAGTCTCGACTAGTCTCTACATAGATCCCCGATTCCCACGTACCAAATTGCCAAGTCTCGACTAGCCTCTACATAGATCCCCGATTCCCACGTACCAAATTGCCCAGTCTCGACTAGCCTTTACATAGATTCCCGATTCCCACGTACCAAATTGCCCAGTCTCGACTCGCCTCTAGATGGATCCCCGATTCCCACATACCAAATTGTCGAGTCTCGACTCGCCTCTAGATGGATCCCCGATTCCCACGTACCAGGATAGAGTGGGCAGCCTTTCTATATGAACCTATCGTCTTTAACTCCTTTGACTTATGTGTTGACATTAAACTAATATTTTTATACAAAACATTCTGCGTAACTCGAACCCATGGTCATTGGGATGGCAGGGATGTACTGACTTGACAATGTCTCATGTCTAAGAGATGTTAACGGTGTCGTGTAGCCAATTTCTCCACGCAATGGTGCTCTTCAAGAAATGAATAACGCTTGATTCGATATTTATTAAATACAGAACTACATACAGACAATTGATGACATTCTTGATCAGGGCTTACAGCGAATGATTAACGAGCCCAACACAGGTGTTAGAAAACAATCCTCACAGAGTACACAAAGGGAACACAATTCGCATGAATATTTAACGTCTACCCCAACGCAAATAGCACTTATCGTTTTCATATTTTCAAAAATGTTTCGTGTATTGGGGATTACAAGAACTGAATGAATTAGGAGCCTTCGGACCTCGTGCATTCTAAACTGCTTTTGAAAGGTTTTGGCTCTGTCATAAAATGTGGCCAAAATGGCAAGTGGGAATTGACTTGATTGTCACTTTGGAAGATCCAGAATCGGCCTTCACCTTTATAGACTTTGCAGTACGAAGACTTTTTGACAACGAAGACATCGAACACCGAAGAAAAAACAGAGGTAACTTAGTTTTTATTACTCTACATGGCAAATATACAGCGCGGGCACTCGATGTAATGAAGAGTGTGCAGAGTTGCGTCCCTTAGGCCTACCTGACATCTGTGATGGTGGTTTTGAATACAGACTCGCCCAGATTATGGTTGAAGATTTGTAGACAACATACCTGTGCTCTATCCTCTATATCTCCAGGGCTTGCAATTCGGTAGACCGACACTGGTATTATGAACCGTGCTCGTGGGTTTCACCAGCGGTAAACGTCTAAGACCTGCATCACTTCGGACTTTCCTCCCACATCAATATGACATGCCGTAATACACCTGACATTCTGTTTCAAGTGGCGTTGAACCAGACTCACTCTGGAAGCAGGTGGCCCAGTGGTGTAAGGCGACAGGATCCGCTAATCTTAAATTTCATCTGAATGGTTAACTACCACCCCAACCCCCCTGTGAAGATCCAGTTTAGAAAAGGACTTCAGCAGCTCGTGCTTGTGATAATGGGTAACTAAATGGATCGCCGCAATTGGTTGATAAATGGATCGCTGACTTGGTTGATGCATGGCATCGTATCCCAATTGCGTGGATCGATTCTCATGATGTCAATCACAGGATTGTCTGGCACAGACAAGATTACTTATCACACGGGGGGCCCAGTCGTCTAAGGCGCCGCGATTCGCTGTGCAGTGTTGCGTCCCTTCGGCACGCCAGAAACCTATGATTGTGGGTTCGAATCCCGGTTCGCCCCGATTATGTTTTATAGGTTCGTCAGCACCATACCCGTGCTCGTGGGTTTCACTAAAGTGGTAACCGTCTGAGACCTGCATCACTTTGGGCTTTCCTCCCACATCAATATGACATGCCGTAATATAACTGGAACACTGTTAAAAGCGGCGTTAAACCCAACTCACTCACTCACTCACACTAATTCAATGTCAAAGATACACGAAACTTCTTTTCTAATGGTTTATTTATGATATAAACATTGATTGTTGTACATAAATACATTCCCTTTAGCACCGGACAGTAAGCACACACGTCACTCATTCACTCACTCATGTAAAAGATAGGGGATAAAAGATAATTCAAATAAATAATGCAACATAACAAAACGATCACAGTTACCTTCCTTTGGAGTCTTTGACGGTACACACACATGCGTTGTCCACAACAAATCAGCAAAGTGAAACACCAGCTTGTGATTCATAGCACTACGATATAAGGGTTTTTTTATATGTCATTCATTGATATTTATTGTGCTGCCTTAATATCACCCAAGGCCTATAAATCAAGGTGTATTAATTCCTTATTCGCCTCGGGGCATGTCTAAGGCGCCACAATTCGCTGTGCAGTTTTGCGTACCTTATGCGTTCCAGGACCAACTGATCGAGGATTTGAATTCGTTATTCGACAACTATTTATCCTATAATGATTCTCGGTTTATAAAAAAATCATGCTCGTGCCTGAGGGTTTCCCCTATACTCCTGCCTGAGGGTTTCCCCTTTACTCGTGCCTGAGGGTTTCCCCTATACTCGTGCCTGAGGGTTTCCCCTATACTCGTGCCTGTGGGTTTCCCTATACTCGTGCCTGAGGGTTCCCCTATACTCGTGCCTGAGGGTTCCCCTATACTCGTGACTGTGGGTTCCCCTATACTCGTGCCTGAGGGTTTCCCCTATACTCGTGCCTGAGGGTTTCCCTATACTCGTGCCTGAGGGTTTTACCCTATACTCGTGCCTGAGGGTTTCCCCTATACTCGTGCCTGAGGGTTTCCCCTATACTCGTGCCTGTGGGTTTCCCCTATACTCGTGCCTGAGGGTTTTACCCTATACTCGTGCCTGTGGGTTTCCCTATACTTGTCCTTGTGGGTTTCCCCTATACTCGTGCCTGAGGGTTTCCCCTGTACTCGTGCCTGTGGGTTTCCCTATACCCGTCCCTGTGGGTTTCCCCTATACTCGTGCCTCTGGGTTTCGCCTATACTTGGGGCCTGTGGGTTCCCTATACCCGTCCCTGTGGGTTTCCCCTATACTCGTGCCTGAGGGTTTCCCCTATACTCGTGCCTGAGGATTTCGCCTATACTCGTGCCTATGGTTTCATTCAATACCCGTCCCTGTGGGTTTCCCTGTGCCCGACTATCATAAAGTTGAAACTCACTCACCCAGAAGCTACGAAGGAACTTATACATCTTGGCTATATATATATCTAAAAAATATTTTAGAGTACAAAATACACAGAAAGCCTTCTAATATTACCTTACCAGATCAAATTGTCCGCAGCATGTATAACACTTTGGCAGGTAAGGGAACTTTTCATTCAAAATATATTTTTGTCAATTCAAATACTATTAGCAACCGTTGTATAATCAATCATACATGTATTTTCAGGGAAGACAAAATTTTCACATTAATATTTTTTCAATTTTCATTTCCGATTAAGAAACAGCCGAAAACGATCATGGTTTTTTTCACCTGTGGAGTTTGACGAAAATATAATCTGGGCTGAGGAAATACCCACAAGAAAAGAAACATGTCTTCGAACAATCTGGTCCGAAACAAATTGACAAAGGGAGATTATCATAGCACACTGGATTAGTGGCACAGAAGACATTACATTACTTTAACGCTTCTGTAAATCAAATGTTATCTGCCAACCCAATGCAAACTCTTCCGTCGACGTTAAGCCATACTAATCAGCAAGAAACGTCACGATAGCGAACATTCAAAGACGATTACAGATTACTCGGAGAGAGGGAATATTGTCCCCTCCCAGGATGAGGATGTCCCAAGCACACATACACATTAATATCATTGTGGTTATCGTAACAATAATGCAGTATTCAACAATATAGGACTATATATCATTTGATGTAGAATTACAGTATGGCTTGACTTCTCGTAAAAATCACATCCTATTCCTTGATTTCTGCTAAACAGCCAATTATCATACCCTTCCCTGATGCGGTTTCTTCCTCATCCGACTTAATGATGGGTGATTGGGTAGCCAAGTGGTTAACGAGTTCACACGTGAAGCCAATTGCAAAGTCCTGGGTTCGATTCCCCACAATGTGTGGGGTGTCCTCCGATATGGCTGGTATATTGCTTTAGGGGTGCAAAACACTTCTTGCTCACTCACACAATTAATAAGACCGACTATCATGGCTGGCACCATACTGTCCGAGTGTCTCCAAAATCCGTCTCTCATTCATCTTCCCCCATCCACCCCTGCCATAAACACACCCCAAAAAAACCACCTACCCCAGCCCCACTCTCACTGAGCTCCGAACTACCCCACCCTTACCCCCGTGACTCATTGGACTGTGCCCGCTCTGGACTCCTGCTCCGACCCTCACACTGTTGTGGTGGATTCCCTATTCTTAAACTCCTTAAGTTCTAACAATGTTCCTCTAAAGACAGGACTCTGGTCCTCGCTCTGGACAGAGTCAGTGTCCGACTCCATCATCATGCTGACCGGGTCATCGGTCAAGCTGATGTCCCCAATGAGGTCTAGGGACAGGGTGTTTCCAGTGGAGGAGGTGGGGATGTGCTGGATCACCTGCTGGTTCGTGTCCAGATCTGGACTCAACTTTATCATCATGCTGTACAACGCTGCATACTTCCTGCACAGTCTCTTAGCATCCTTGTAGGAATCCAGATCCGTGTACTCTTCCTCATCAGCAGATTCTGTCACAGTACAAGCTGCTGTAACTGGCACTTCAAACAAAACGTTCCTTTTATTCAAAACAGTGCTAGCGATAACGGTTTCGACAGTTTCGGCACCCTTAATGATCATCATACCGGTGAATATGCAAGGAACCACTGGCGCCTTGCCGAACAACAGTCTAGCTTTAATTGGAAGAGTCAGATCCGAAAGGATGTCTTTCATCCTATATACAGAGTTTTTGTTTAGATTACCCTTCTCGTACAGTGCATTAAACTTTCCAGTTTTGGTGAGGGGGACAAGTATTTCCTTCTGGTCAGTGTCTATACATTTCAAGTATTTCACTTCTGTTGTGGTCCACTCAGTTTTGCTTTTCTTGAACACCCCAGTCACAGCACTCGTTTTCCAAGTTGCTGTAAAAATGCTTTCAACTTTAAGAACGGACCCAGCAGGAACCTTTCTTTCAAAGATCTTCTGGTTTCCATCTTCTTGCTTCTGGATCCGGATAGCCTTGATGTTTGACCTTGAGAAAAACTTCCGGGGCATGGCCTCGGAAACTTCCGCTATTGACCGGAAGCAAGTGGCCCGTCCGAAATCAGAGGGGACCATCTCAAACCATCCTGAAAAATAATTTTTACCTTTAAAGTACAAGCAAATGACACCAAAGTAACGTTTGTGAATCCTGAAGTCGGTTTAAATTTAAGTTGTCATATGCTTAAGTTATATGTAATAACCCAACTTTGATGGATAAAGGTTCAGCTTATCACAATAAACAGTTCACCTATGCAACGTTATGCATGAATATAAATGATTATGTTGCTTCGACTCAGGCAAATCTTTATGTATGTTCACTGTATCGTTAAACTAGAAGCAATAGCAGAAAGGGCAAGATTCTTCCTCTTGCTGGACTGGGTCTTTCATAATTATTTTATGAAAATAATAGCATTTTTGTTATTACGCAGATCACAACGTGGTCTTACGGTTTTGTAAGTTTTACGTTTCTCTTGTTTCAGAATTATCATTTCTATATAGGATTATGTAAAAGGGGATTTGCGACGTAAGTCACGTTGACTCTGTTACTATAAAAATCGGATAAGCTTGTCTGTGTCGGTTCTCGCTTACCACATGTTTCGTGACTCTATCTCATTATTTAATCAAGCTGATTGGATCACATGAATGTTTAAAACCAACTCACAACAAACCGGAATGAGTTCACGCACGTGTTTCCGGTCCAGTCAGGCCTTTTGATTCCTGTAAACCCAAACCGGTTTCAACATTCACGACCACTCACCTTCATAGTCCTCGGGTAAAAGTAATGTCTGCCCAACCTCAAAGTACATCCCCGTGTCCTTGTCCTTATGAATAGTTCGTGCACTGGCAATCCTCTTTGTGCTTTTAGTATGAAACAAAACTGTCTGTTTACAATACATTTTTAAACCAGGAGACAGTTTGCCTTCCTTGTTCTCCTCAAATTTCACGATTCGGGGCAGACGTTCGTCGTCCTTATAAACACCAAGCGTCGCGGTGTCGTCTGCCCAGGTGAACTCCCTCTTCTGAGAGCCCACAGAACCAGATTCGCTAGTCCCCCCTGTCTCTGATTCCGCCATGTTTTAAGTCCTTATGTCTTCACCATAATATTTCTTCTCTCACATACCCGTATACAGATCGCCAGCTTGTTGATAATTCCTGGCTACAGAGCACCGCAGTTTGCTATTATTGGAAACACGGAGAACCGGTTTGGCTAAATCTATATCCCGACCAACTCAGATTAACGATTATTCTCATCCAGGGCTGTTGGCGATAACATAAAGGACCTGAACATGAATAACGTCCGTTTTACTATCCCTGTGCTTACAGTGACATAGGTTGAGTTCATGACTACCAAGTGTTTGAAGCTATTCAAAAATATGTTTACATTACAGTCACGCATATATCTTTTCTTGGCTGGGAACGTCTCGCCCAAGAGAGCACGCCGGTTGAATTCCGAAACTCCTACGACGTTTTTCACACTTCGCCAGTCAACAGCACTCGAGGGCCGTCGCATAATTACCAACTTCCGCACGCGCTTGTTTGATTTAATGATCGTAAATGTAATAAATTGACAGAAATGTACTCCAAACGATGTAGGCCACAGAAAACAATCGTTTAAACACCTCAAGAATATTTTTTTAAACGTTTCTCCTGCCTTGATGTATCGTTTAGGAAAGAAAGGTAGAGTGTTATGTACACGACACAGTGCTATCGACATGTTACGGTATGGGTTTAACCCTTTTTGGCTGTACGCCAGGTTTACTTAACCAACGCCCTAAATGCTTGATATTGTTTTGCAATGACGCTATGCATTCATAGAAACTGTAGGCCATATACATCAAGATTGGTCGATGTTTTTTTCTTGATGTAGCTTATGTTTGTGTACACAAAATGATTAATGCAGAGCTCCTTCAGTACCAAACAGTTACAGCTAAAATGATTTATTTTTTTTATAATAAAGTTGATAAAATTGTTTCGATGTTAGAGGACGGTAAAGTGGCTATTAAAACTATTCAATAGTTGCCCGTCTCTCACATACGGAGTAAACAAACAAAGGTCCTTGTATTTTTAAGCAATTCCACATCACAATTTACAGTTCAAAGCTTCTTAAGTAGTAAGTTCTTGCGCTACTATGTGTTTTTATCACAGAGTTCCTATAAATATTCTGAAAAAAGATCGCGGATGCGTAAAGTGATCATTCAAACGTTCATACTTTGTTAGCTAGTATTCTATGATTTCTATGTCTTGGAAAGGGTGTCAAGAAATTTTTTAAATTGATGTATCTGTGAAGACTATCAATCTGAGTACATGAAATACCCTTGTGGTTAATAACGATCTTTAAGCTTAGAACTCAGGTCATATGCAGAGTTGCGCCCCTTCGAATGTGTCAGGATGCTATTTGGTTGTCGGTTTGACTCCAATATCCACCCTGATTATGATGCTTGGTTCAGCACCATCCCCGTCATTGTAGGTTTCACCATCGTGGTTGACCTGCGACACTTTCCTTTAACATTAAACTGGTATGCCGTGAATTTACCGAAACAAAAAGTGACGAATAGTAGCAGCAGCAGCAGCAGCAGTAGCAGCGGCAGCAGCAGTAGTTCTACTAATAGTAGTAGTATTGATAAAGAATATGGTCAAAGCTATACATGGAGTTACCTCCCCTAAACCGTAAATGAAACATTTACGGGTCACACTGCAACCTTTGTTGCCTAGTGAATATTTCTCTTTGCTCTGTTTTACCGTTATCAAGACATGTGCATTTATCAGTTTTTCAGAGCTATTACTTTATCTGATCAATATCTGAAGTAATGGTTAATAATTAATATTAAAGATACAAAAAGGAACCTACATGTAGGTTTATTTCACATGTTTATTGAATACCATAGTATTTATTTCCCTGACAACTCTCATATTACATGCATCATATACATTATTTATATTTCTTTCCCGGAACAGTACCTCTTTATTTCCGATATTCTGACGCCATGCTAGTTATCAGGTAATGCATACGTCAGAAGTAAGCCATGTCCCTTTTGTCCACAGCATCCTTCGGCTCAAACGGACGGTTGTCTCCCTTTGTTCGGAGCACGCGGTGTAATGTTAATTGTCTCTGAAACCTGATACATAAAGAACGCTAGCTCCTTAGTGAAAGGTAATGCGGTTGAGATTAATAAATGCCACCCTTGCCATTTCTGAAGATTAGACCACGCATTACGATTTACAATTAGACTTATTCCGAGTCTCGTTATGTCAGTCTTGTTTTCCGCATCGTAAAGTATCTATCCCGTGTACAGAAAACTACTTTGCAAGCAACAAATCGATACTTAAATGTCATATACTGTAATATTGCATCTTTGTTTACAGGAACAAGGCATAAAGACAGCGTAACTATGCTGCGGAAACGACGATTCGCTTTGTCACAAGATGCTAATATTTCCTTGCGATTACTTGTGATATTTGTCTCGAAAAGCAAGTCGTGGTTCACAACAGCACACTGTAGGTTTAGTTATTGGCAGACAGATTCAATATCCTGATTCTCTTTTCCTCGGTGAAGCATGTCTGGTTTTTTGTGTTGCTTTGACTTGCACGCCGTAATTCGCTAAGCAGAGTTGCGTCCCCTTGGCACACCAGAAACCTATGACCGTTGTTTCGAATAGCGCTTCGTCTCGATTATGTTTCTTGGTTTGCCAGCATCATACCCGTGTTCGTGGGATCCCCCAAAGTGGTAATAATCTGAAACCTGCATCATCTCGGGTTTTCCTCCCTCATTTAGCTTATACTGCCTGATATAATTGGAATACTGTTCCAAGAGGAGTTAAATTAAACTCACATACTCCATTCACACCACAGTCGCTGGTAGGGACGAGGAATGCCAAAAGTAATTCCATAACTGAAATGGACCGCCGCCGTGGTCTAGTGGTAGAGCGTTTCCCCGGAGAGCGGAAGGTTCGGGGTTCGATCCACGACTGCGTCATACCAAAAGACGTTTAAAGATAGTACTTGTTGTTGCCCTGTCAGGCAAACGACATAAAGGGGCTAAAACACGTACTGGTCGGATCGGAGACATTATACTGTGTGAGTGGGGTATTCATGTTAAATTGCGGCATGATATCTTAGTGGACTATTACTATAAATCGGCTTCATATTAGTGCTATAATCCGACGTTAAACCCCAGTTCACCCAATAATTGAAATGATTACAAGTTGTATAGGCACATCTATTCACGCACAAATACAAGCACGATATATTTATACAGAGGCCTTGATGACATGAACAGGCACACATATACAGAGGCCTTGATGACATGAACAGGCACACATATACAGAGACCTTGATGACATGAACAGGCACACATATACAGAGGCCTTGATGACATGAACAGGCACACATATACAGAGGCCTTGATGACATGAACAGGTACACATATATACAACGGCCTTGATGACATGAACAGGCACACATGTATACAGAGGCCTTGATGACATGAACAGGCACACATATACAGAGGCCTTGATGACATGAACAGGCGCACATATATACAGAGGCCTTGATGACATGAACAGGCACACATATACAGAGGCCTTGATGACATGAACAGGCACACATATATACAGAGGCCTTGATGACATGAACAGGCACACATATACAGAGACCTTGATGACATGAACAGGCACACATATATACAGAGGCCTTGATGACATGAACAGGCACACATATACAGAGGCCTTGATGACATTAACAGGCACACATCTATACAGAGGCCTTGATGACATGAACAGGCACACATATACAGAGGCCTTGATGACATGAACAGGCACACATATATACAGAGGCCTTGATGACATGAACAGGAACACATATACAGAGGCCTTGATGACATGAACAGGCGCACATATATACAGAGGCCTTGATGACATGAACAGGCACACATATACAGAGGCCTTGATGACATGAACAGGCACACATATATACAGAGGCCTTGATGACATGAACAGGCACACATATACAGAGGCCTTGATGACATGAACAGGCACACATATACAGAGGCCTTGATGACATGAACAGGCACACGTATACAGAGGCCTTGATGACATTAACAGGCACACATATACAGAGGCCTTGATGACATGAACAGGCACACATATACAGAGGCCTTGATGACAAGAACAGGCACACATATACAGAGGCCTTGATGACATGAACAGGCACACATATACAGAGGCCTTGATGACATGAACAGGCACACATATACAGAGACCTTGATGACATTAACAGGCACACATATACAGAGGCCTTGATGACATGGACAGGCACACATATACAGAGGCCTTGATGACATGAACAGGCACACATATACAGAGGCCTTGATGACATGAACAGGCACAAATATACAGAGGCCTTGATGACATGAACAGGCACACGTATACAGAGGCCTTGATGACATGAACAGGCACACGTATACAGAGGCCTTGATGACATGAACAGGCACACATATATACAGAGGCCTTGATGACATTAACAGGCACACATATACAGAGGCCTTGATGACATTAACAGGCACACGTATACAGAGGCCTTGATGACATGAACAGGCACAAATATACAGAGGCCTTGATGACATGAACAGGCACACGTATACAGAGGCCTTGATGACATGAACAGGCACACGTATACAGAGGCCTTGATGACATGAACAGGCACACATATATACAGAGGCCTTGATGACATTAACAGGCACACATATACAGAGGCCTTGATGACATTAACAGGCACACGTATACAGAGGCCTTGATGACATTAACAGGCACACGTATACAGAGGCCTTGATGACATTAACAGCTACACATATATACAGAGGCCTCGATTATCGTGACAAAGACACACATATACGTGGGTTGCAGTTCTAGCCTCACTTAGAAAATATTCTTCACGTTCCTGAAGTTTGTCCAAGGTCACAGATCCCTGCCTATTTTATAGACTTATGACAGCGGAACAATTCGATCAACTGACTCAAGTTTTTTGTGAACAGTAGTAGTAGTAGTAGTAGTAGTAGTAGTAGTAGTAGAAGTAGTAGTAGTAGTAGTAGTAGTAGTAGCAGTCGTCATAGTAGTAGCAGTCGTCATAGTAGTAGCAGGGTTAGTAGTAAGCGCAGTGATAAAAGTAAAAGTAGGTGTAAAAGTAGTTGCAGTAGAAGTAG